TTTGGAAATATTGTTTGATATCTTCTATAATAAGGTACCGCAATATATATATATATATACATATGCAGATATGCATACTTCTAATCTAGGATTTGTGGGGCTTGAGCATTGCTTGGCTGTCTTGGGGGTTGGGCATCGCACAAAGCGCCACTTCCAGAGGCCTGCTTATCGCCCACCTCCTGCTACTTGCCCGGGCAGACGTAAACCGCTCCTGCCCTGGGCCCTGTGGCTGGACTCCTTTGATGCGTGCTGCTTCCTGTGGCGCGCCGGCAATACCAACCCTACAGCTCCTCGTGCAGGCGAAGGCGGACGTTCGGAAGCGCCACGAGAACGGCTCCACCGCCCTGGAGATGGGTGACCAGACCTCCGCGCGCGCCCTCCGTGCGGCGCGCGACGCCCGCAGCCGAGCCGAGGAAGCTGCGGCCGCGGCCGCGACGGCCGCAGGCGCGCGTGGGGCTGCGAAGCCGAAGGCTCGGCCGAAGAGTAGCGCTGCCCTGTTGGCCTTGCAGAATGCAGGGCGGAGCTCCAAAGGGAGTGGGCGTGGAACACGACGCTAGGGAAACAGGCTTTGGGTGTATATCTTGTTGAGGGCCAAGACACCAATGGAAGACCGCCCTTGAGCTGTAGAGCTTTTGTCCAGGTCTTTGTTCAAGGGCGTTGGACCGACTTGGATGTGCCAGCCTGCGAGACCGGGAAGTCAAGTTGAATCCGGCAGAGCGGCTGAACCATGTGGGAAGTATATTGACATGCGTGCGCACACATATATCTATATCTATATCTATATCTCTATCTCTATATCTCTATCTCTATCTCTATATCTATCTATCTATCTATTTATCTATTTAAAGGCTTACGCCTAACAGCCGGGCGCCGGCCCACTTGGGTCTGTGTAGGGCTGGGTCGGGTGCACGTTAAGCTATCGGGGGCGTACTGGGCCCTGGGTGGTGCCAAGGTGGGAAACTGGTCCGCGTCGGAGATGGGGGCCCTATATTGAGCAAGGTTAAGCTATCTGGTGCGCATCTTGGCCCTAGGTTGGGCCAAGTTGGGCCCATGTGATCTATGTTGGGCAGATCTTGGGCCCATGTTGAGCCTATGTTGAGCCTATGTCGGCCTATGTTAAGCCTATGTTGGCCTATGTTTGCCCAGGTTGGGCCTATGTTGGCCCCATGTTGGCCCTATGTTGAGCCATCTTGGAGGCTATGTTGGGCATATGTTGGGGATATGTTGGCTATCTTGGGCCTATGTTGAAGATATGTTAGGAAATGTAAGTCGTCTTCTACCCACAAAATGTCGATTAAGCCTGTCCGCCCGGCGCGCATTACCGACACCACCCTTGAAAAACACAGCATTTTTGCACTTTTCCCTTTTCCCCCCGTCGTACTTCGATATGCGCAATAAACCCTGTAAAACACAGTGTTTTTTATACCTCACACACACGATACACTGTAAATTACAGGGGCTTCAGTTGACCGGTCGTCCCCCCGTTTTGGGACCGAGGGTCGGCGGCAGCCAGGGCCAGCGTCTATAACCTTCGGTTACCACCGAAGGCCTCCGGCGAGGACACGGGCGCGTGGCCGGCGCCCGGATTTACCAGGCCACCGCCTGCAGCCGCCGAGCCCCAAGGGGAAAAGCTGGTGGCAGGGTCGTCCCAGGGACTGTTAGCCTGAGCCTTAAGCCTTAGCCTTAGCCTTAGCCGTAGCCTAGCCTTAGCGTTAGACTTAGCCTTAGCCTTAGACCTTACCTCCCCTAGCCCTCCGGAGCCCTGTTGCAGTGACGAAATCCCGATTGTCCAAGATTTTGCCATCCCACTTGATTTACATCGTGGGGGTTTGGGTGTAGAAGGGAGTTGTAGGATGTCAAAGGTGGCTCTGGGTTCCCAAGTTTGCTCAGAAAATTGCTAATCTATTTTCTTCCATTGTTGTACTCATGCCTTTCATGCGCTGAACGAGGTCCGGCCAGTGCCCGTGGTAACGTGAAAGGCTCTTGTATTTTGGGTTCCCTCGCTTTCGAAGAAACATGCCGATCCACTTGCACGGGCATTGGCCGGGGCCACGCCGCGACCAGCCCGGACACTGGCATAAACTCGGGTCGCAAAAGGTTCACAATTTTTTGAGGAAATCTGGGAACCTAAAAACAAGAGGAAATGCTAGAAAATTATCGGAAAAGCATCCAGCCGAAAACGTAACAAAATCTAGACAAAGCCTAGAGCATTCCTAGGAAAATGCTGGAAAAGCCTTTGAAAATCCCACAAATCCAACAGAAAACGTGACAAAATCCCAACAGAAATTGTCACAAAATCTAGGAAACACGCCGCGGCCAGCCCGGGATTCGAGCCCGGGACCATTTTGGACCGTGCTTATTTTCCCGCGCGGGTAGAGAGGGTGCCCCAAGATGTAAATCAATTGGGATGGCAGATTCTTGGACAATCCAGGGCACAATCACGCCAGTTTTTCGTCAATATCACATCGCCATTTCGTCACTGCAACAAGGGTCCGGAGGGGTAGGGGAGGTCAGGTCTAAGTCTAAGTCTAAGGCTAAGGCTAGGCTAGGCTAAGGCTAAGGCTTCAGGCTAAGGCTAACATCGACAGTCACGCCTCACCCCACGGTGTGGGGTCGGCGGATTTATCTATTTATCTATCTATCTATCTATCTACCTATCTATCTATCTATAATACCCATACATATGTATATATATATATGTCTACTTAATTTATGTGATTTATGTGTGTAAGATATTCAGATACTCCGTAGAGGGCCGGGAAGACTTCAACTCGCGGACGCAGCCTGTCCTTACTCCAAAGTATTCTTCACACCTTTTGAACGAAAACTTCAAGTCTTGCTTCTCTTACAGTGCCATAGGCCACTAAACCGGTTGTGGGGATTGCCAGCTTGAATGTGTTTACCAGCGGGTCATTTCAAGGATCTGCAAATGGTTCACGTCGAGGTCCAGTTTGCCTAGGTTTTTGGGAATTTGTTGCAACAAGAAAGGCACAGTACAATGTCCAAGCGCTTTTGCTGCATCGGCAGGTTCTCAGCAAGGCAGCCACGGGCCTAGGTTGCGAGAAAAGGGCAATGAGAATGCATGAGTCCAATGACAAATGGCCATGAATCTTGACTTGACTCACTCGTTGGTCAATAGTTCGCCCGTGAGTCAATGGCCGTGAGTGGTGCCCAATGAGGGGATGACTTGCACCCTGTCAACTGGTTATACCTGGCCGTTTTCATGCGCTTTTCGATGGCAGCTTTTCGGACAATTGAGGTGCAGAGCGGCCAACACAAGGCCGGCTGGGGCGAATTTGCTATTTGGGCGAGCCGCACCTCGTTGCTTGGCCTTTCTGGTTGCCTGGGTGCTTGCCCGTGTAGCATTCTGAGATTCGCCCTGCCAAGTTGGGGGTTCGCTTGTGCGTGCGAAATTCGTTCACAGTGTCAAACACCGCAGGAATTCATGTGTCAAACCCTGTGACCCAGAAATTCATGACTTTTGGAGGTTCCAGAGAAGGCTCGCTTCGCAGCAAGTTCCGCAGGTTCCCGGAGCAGGTGTCCAAAGCTTTCGGAACAGGTTCTGGAGCAATCGTCGCAACACTTTTGTAGATATGCTGACATATGCCGTCATGTTGTCATTGTCATGGCAGAATGCTGACATGTCATCATGCTGGCATATGCTAGCATGTTGTCTGACATGTTGTCATGCCCCCATCCCCCTGTATCTGGCAACCCTTGCAGCAGTTTAGACATCTGTGGCGCGCGAGTTAGCCAAAGTGCATTTGGTTTAAGTTTAAGTAAATTTTATCTGTGGTACCTGACACATTTGGCACCCCTTTCAGCAGTTTGGAGTTGATGGTGCGCAAGTGAGCCGCCGTATCAAAGGGTACTGCCCCCAAGCCACCTTTGTTGCCTGATTGTTGCCTTCCCATATGTTTCATTTACAAACCGTAGTGCAGTGAAACTCTTTCAGACTGCTCTGATGCCCGTGTCTTTTGCTTTTTGTACTGGACTAGCATGGCCAGTGATGTCTTTTTCTCAGGCCGCTTTGAGCAAGAACTCGGTCGTAGACTTGGTGCAGATGGCGCACATCAACACGCACACTGGCCGAAAGAGGCCTCTGCGCTGCGCACAGAGCTGCCCCGCATGTGATCACAGGTCCGTGCTTGGTCACACAGGGTCCGTGGCTAACCCCATAGCAGAGTAGCTTGTTCCTAATAGCTTTCTTGTTACTACTGTACTAGTAAGGCACTTGTTACTACTAGCGTGGCACTTGTTCCTAATAGCTTCTTGTTACTACTAGATGGAAATTGTCACAGGATTTGCCCTTAGCAGAGTCTTCCAATGACCGGCTGCGTCACACTGAGAGTGTCACCTCCGTTTGATGTTCACTGCCCAACGAATGCGCAGGCCGTTGCGGTGGCTCGGCGAGGAGGCCGGCGTGGGGACGCCGGCGACCGGGGAGAGTAGTACATGTAGGACTCCTTGATGAATAAAACCCCATTTGGATCCATTTGGATGGTCAGACGTCTCCTTATGGGGGGTTGCAATGGTTAAACAGTTGACCCTCCATGAACACGTTCGAGATTAAGACCACTTGGTTTGCCTCGGCAGTTCGTCAAAGCATGGCAAGCCGCAAGCCGCGACTGGGTTTACAAAGTTCACAACCTTGGGGGCCAAACTGGTTCTCTGGACTGAGGCCTGATGCACATACCTCCCAAAAGATACAGCCTTTGTGTTTCAGTCGGCCTTCCTGAGATTTTGAAAAGAGAAGGGCCAGGCTTCGTGATGCAGCATCTCGAACACACACACACACACAAAGTGGCAAGTGGTAGAGCAAGGAAGGTGAAGCTTGACCCGAAGGACCTCCACAATAAAGTGATGCGTTGGAATCTCTTTTGATGGGGCGTCACTTTACACAGTCAGTGGATTACCTAGAAAACTTACGAGTGGCTGGGTGTTTTGCATGTACTTGTGGCGTTTTATTACTGTAAGGCTCCTCCCTGCTGGGTATGCCTTCTATGCGTACTTGCTCTAGGAAGTTCACAGTATATGGGACAAACTCACACACCATGTCAGGATTTATGCGATCCTTCAAACTTAAGACCTCATGTAGGAACCAGCAGAATCAGATCTGCCAGGTCGGAAGGCCCTAAAACCGGCAGTGACCAGACGCCAGGCCTTGATGGAGCAAGTGGAGCTGCCGAATGCCATCGGTGGAAAGGTGGCTGTGCCCTCCAGGTACCAGGCCGGTTTTTGGTGCGGGAGGGTGTGGCGGTGTGCAACTGAGAGGTAGGAGTTGGTGAGAGGGACTCAGCCAAGTGCCAAGTGTTGCAAAAACACCAACAGTAATCTGAGAGTAAGGAGTTTTTGACACCAATATACCACAGCAATTTCAGATTGTCGTGCCTTCGTGACAACGTTTTGTGTTGAGAAGCTGGCTGTGGGGGGGCAGGTCTTCGTGGAAGGCTCTGGCTGGAAGACTATGCCCGGAAGCCTGCGAGTGCAAGCCAGCCAACATGCACAACACTTTGTCCTAGTATACACCTTATATAACACACGGTAAATGATTCAGAAGCTTGGACAGTCATTGAGTTGGCGGTGTTATCTTCTCTTGAATCAAAATTCTTTGAACATTGTTTGTGTCGCATGTTGGTGACACGATTTGGTTGTAGGGTGCAGGGTGCTTCCCATCTTGCTCTGTGACTCTGTGCCTAAAGCGCATTGTTTCGGTGCAGGTCTGTCAAGGGGAGTGGCAGCCTCAGACATGTGTTGGGTTAGACACCCAAATATTCGCCACAAGAATTCCTGACCTGTTCCCCCCCAAAAATCTCCTGGCACCACGGGAGTGCGAAAGTTGAGCTTGTCGGGTAGAGGGGTAGGCATTGGATGATCAAGAACGAGGAGGTCAGTGAAGGGACCCAAATCGTACCGTAAGGGGTGAGAAGGCGGTCTTGGATACAGCTCAGGCGCCTTTGATTTCGCAGCGTTTCCCTTCTCCCAAGTGTCGCAGCGCTGCAACATTTCGCCATGATTTGCTAGGCCGATAGATGCCGATAGGCGGTCTCTGATGCCAGATGAGCTGCAGATCTTTTGGCGCCCACCTCTGACTTCCTCATGCCGCTTCTACACCAAGGACCTCCAACGCCCCATGGGCCTCGCCGTCGACCGCGCCGAGCCGCCGGTGCTCCAAGTCGCAGGTTGGATCCGCGGAACTCTGCTGGAGCCCGCCGACGCCGCGACCACCGGGCTGCGGCGGCAGGTGGGTGACGAGGTCGAGCGCGAAAGCCGGACGCCCGATGAAGTGGCCAGCTTCGATGCGGGTGAGGGTGGTTTGGTGAGGCCTGGTGGGGTTCAAAAGGATGGGACGGTGGTGGTGAAGGAAGGACTGGGTTCATGTTTATTCCATTCGTCATGGGTTTGTAGCATGGCTGGCGTTATCGTGTTGGCGTGTTGGTGATGTTGACCGTTGATTCATCTTCACGCCCCCAAAATGAACATGTAATCCACCAACAATCATCAAATGTTGTGTGTTTTTTGATTTATAGGGGGAGATTGAAATATCCTGTTGCGTTTTATTTCCAAAAGAGGTTTCTTGGCATTTTCTTCAGGTGGACAGGCCTGGTGACCTTGGACCCGGGCTCTCGCGTGCGCTTGACCGGGCCCAGCGACTTCCGCCTCACCTGGGGCCGCGCGCGGCGCGCGTTGGTGGGCGCGGTGTTGGCGGATGCCTCTGTGCGGCCGGGGCAATGTGAGAGCTTGAGCCATTGGTTCGAAGTCACCTGTGAGCCGCTTCGCAAGGCGCCGATCTCGGCGCCTGCGGTGGCCGCCTGGCAGATTTTTTGGCAAACGTGTTTTTGGGTGGTTCTTGTCGAGATAGAGGTGTTTTGTTGGGACCTTTTGGAGGGAGATTTGGAACTTCTCCACGACTTTTCCATTGGTTTTGTACAGCCAGGTGGAGGTCTGTGGCCCCAAAAAGGGCGCGGTGAACAGCACCTGGAGCCCTCTGCTCCGGCAGCAGCTGTGTGGACCTGAAGCGTGGTCGCTAGTTCATGCGCCCGAGGCTGCTCTGCTGGACTGGCGTATTTTTTGGGGGAGGGTGGACCAAAACTGTTTGAGAAACCTACTGTCAGTGTCTGGTGGACTCACCTTAAAAACTACCCCCCTTCAGTTGGAGCTCCGGAAAACCCCAGCAGCTCGGGTGCCTGAGGCTCCATGGGTGACCTGCCATGGTGTGCCCTGCGAAATGCCGGAGGCTTGGCGATCGCCACCGCATGGCCTGCTGGCAGGTTCGACCGGCTCGACTGACGGTTGGACCTCCAGAGGTTGACGGTTGGAGTTCGGCAGGGCTGAGGGGGGCTGAACACCATGCCATGTGCCATTCTTGAAAAGCATTTCCCAGCACCTCACAGATGTCTTCCGTTGGGTCTTCCGTGCAGGTGAAGGTCCAGTGCCAAGGCCTGTGCTCTCAATCTTGGTGCCTTGAATCAGTCTGAAGTTGGGTGCTTTGATGTGGGTGGCGTGGGCTGTGTGGGCCCCCAGCCGATGAGAATAACATGCAGGCAAAGGCAAGGGGCAGACGCCACAAAGGCATGTCCTGCAGGTTTGGCAGGCATGCCGCTGCCTAGAGAGAACCCCCGTATTTCATGTATAACATAGAACAACATGAAGTCAAACACACACACACACACACACGTATGTGTCTATATAATTAACACAAAACTAACCAACAACACTTACCTCCCTGGATCGCATTTATGATGTGTGATCATTTTTTACAGCTTTATACTCGGATGATTACAATGTTGGGAAGTTGGTCCTGGTCGAAAAGAAATGGTCTTGCCGGAGCTGATTGAAGTGTGAGACATGTGACTTGGTTCCCTTCTTCTTGTGCATCATCCCCTGAACCACAAGCTTATAAACACTCATCAATTTCATACTATATAGCCGGCCTTGGAACAGTTTCCAAAATGTATCGTAGTATCATGTAGTATCCAATCAAATTCGGTACAACTTCGAGGATGTACTTTTTACTAGTAGTGACAAGAAGCCATTAGAAACAAGTGCCTCGCTAGTAGTAACTTAGTAGTAACAAGTGCCTTACTAGTAGTAACAAGAAGCTATTAGAAACAATTGCGTCGCTACTAGGAGCAAGAAGCTACTAGGGGCTCCTGGCCGTACTAGTAGTAACAAGAAGCTATTTGGGGCGTATTCAAAGCCGTGCTTTTTCTCCACGCCTCAGGTGGTGATGCCAGCGGTGCCCCCAGAGGCGGGTGTCGGCTGCATGACGCCCAACTGGACGCTGGTGGCAGCTTTGGAGGAGGCCATGTACCGGGCGCTGGGTGCCCGGTATCAGTCCCTTGGCGGAATGATTGGGGAATTTTCCACCGAGCAGACCTCGCCGTTGATTCACTTCAAGACGAGCCGTGTCGCTGGTGAATCCTAGCCTCGCCCCGGCGATACCGACCGAGGCTTTTTGTGGTACCGATCTCGCAGGAAGAGCAGCTGGGGCGCCTGGACCCCGCGGCGGTGAAGTCGCTGCTGGACCGGGCCGAGGTGAGCGGTTTTTGGGGGGATTTCCTCGCCGAGGTGAGCAGGTGACCGAACTAGTGGAACCAGTGACCAGGTGAGCATGTTTCGTTTCGCAGGTTTGGTGGTTTTGATGGGATCTTGACATCTTGGGTTGTGCCATCTACTTCTTGAAACCACTTGTAGGGAAGCTCTTTTCATTTTCGATATCTCTTGCAGGTCCAGGGCGCAGTGTACCTCTTGAGTCCCCAGCGAGTGGCCGGGGAATTCCGCACCAAGCATGACCTCGTGCACGACGTGCCGCTCTTCCAATTGATGGAGCGCTTGGAAGGTGCTGGAGTGCCCACACTGTGGCCACATCCTAGCCACCTCTACCGGACCCTGGCGGGGAAGGAGAGCGGAGTGGGAAAGAAGTTGAAGTGTTAAGCTACCGCAGAGTACTCGGAGCTCAGAATTCGCCTGCAGGGGTCTTGTTTGGATGCAACTTGATGTAACAGTCGTCTTTGGGGGGAGTGGTCACCGACTGAAAACAGATTTTGCCGACTTTAAACTTGACGCTACAGTTAGCGCCACAGCTTTCAAGCCGGCCAGAGAACTGCTGCAAGCCCTTCAGGAGTGGCCAACACATCTGTGCCTCTCCTCTCAGTACCACATTCCTTCAACCACACGAGTCTCGAGACAGGCGGTCCTTGCTAGTCCAAAGCTGGCAGCACAGGATGCCTGGCATGCACTGAAGAAGCTTATAGAAGCCCAAGGGAGAACTCCGCCTGAGCAGGTGCACGCCGCAGTAGGATCAGCTTGGCTTCAGAATATTTTTATTTTTGAACTGATTTTTAAGTCTCCGTAGTGCATGCAGGCACGTCAATGGGTTTTGGCAGTTCGTGGGTTTGGAACTTCAGAGCTGAGGTGAAAGTTGGTTACTCTTGGCGTTCGGCCGGGGTCACCTTGTGCCACGGGCTGGTGGAACTGGCCAACACTCTACTGGAGGTGGCGCGCGGCGGCGAGCACAGCTCCTTTATGGCTGATCAGCTGCAGAGAGCGAAGCAGGCCCCAGAATCGTATGTATGAAAAGAGCGAGGCCCCCCCAGGCAATGACCCTGTGGAAGAAAGAATAGAGACCGAAAACGCCTTGGGGCCAGGGGGTCTCATGATTTTGTTTGGCATACCGTAATACCCATGTTTTGATGGTCCATGCCACTTCCACTGAAGGAAGGGTGTAGAACTTGGCCAGGTCACCCCCCTTCCGCCACTTGCGGATCAATTGGAGGTACTGGCTGATCCAGGTATGTTTGGGTGAGGGAGCTTGAGTCCACACACACACACATGCCGCTTAGATGTTTGGAACAAGGCTCATGTGGCCCCCCTTTTCGTTTGGGTGTGGTGAACTTGTTTTGACCCCTTATTAGTGCCGCTCAGGTATGTAGAGACATACCAAGATTTTTTCTAATCATAATATAATCTTGTGAATGGCCCGGGCTGAACAAGCAGGTCCTTGAATTGCCGAAGCTGTGAGCACCATATGTGCGTAACTTGTTGTGGCTCGCCTTCATGTGAGATAAATATTGGGTGAGAGTACCACTCCTCTGGTGACTAGTGACTAGCCCCGAGGTGCAAGAGTTGATTGATGGAATTCTTTGCGAGGCGACGCGGAGTGAGAGGGGGGTGGGAGAAGGATAATTTGGATGAATTTGGGAAGCGAGATGCCTTTTGCATTTCTGACTCAGTTAAAAGGAATGGCATGGGATCGCTGCCTAGGTCTGACCCAGTTCCCTTCGTGGGTTTGGCCCATGCCATCCAATTCCGTAGTGGTGATTCTGGGACGCTACTATGTGAAGACTTGGGGAGTGTGGACCTGTCTTTGGGAGAAATCTCCTATAGCTTATGGCTGTGAATCAAAACTGCCCAGAAGACCTGGAAGACAGGTAGGACAGACATGGAAAGACCGCTTCCCTTCTTTGTGGAGCAAATGGCCCCAGCAGCTCGGCATAAGATGCCCCGGCGCCCAGCACACTCCACAATCACCTCCGTGTGTGCACAACGTCGTTTCCGTGACGAGGCCATGGTCTACGTGTTGCACGGGCAGATGGTTGCACACCCACAGTACTACCGCTTCCCCGAGCACAAGGCTCCGCCGCAATACTTGCATCGGAAGGCAGCCAAAGAGATATTGGGTGGAGAGACAGCTTTGGCACACTGTGAGGAGGCAGGGGGTCGTGAAAGTTGTAGTTGTACCCTCCATCCAAGAAGCATTGCAGTGGACAACTGGGCAACTACCCTTCTCTTGGGGAACCTATTCGGGGCTGTTGTCCACTTCCATGATTGTTGGATGGAGGGTAGCCACGCATCCTCACATGGGTGTCCCACGATCTGTGAGAGACGCCATCTTCCTCCTCGTCGACCGCTTTCCAGTCGTCTCTTTTCATTCGATCGCATGAGCTGCTGAGAGTGTATGTTGGTGTCCAACCACACCCACCTTTTCTTCGAGCCAGGTAATGAAGAAGATCGTTGAACACTGGATCTTGTGGGCCAGCGCGCAGTGTGCGACGCCGATCCCCTTCCTCAGGATTGACTTCTTGTGGCTTTGACTTAAGCAGGGCAGAATGGGCAGAGGTGAGATCATCAGAGATCCTGCACCACATGGTGTGTCCCAAAATGCATGAGAAGCAACCTTCAAACATTTGTTTCTGCAAGCTGCTGCAAGCTAGGCAGGCTCCTTTAAAACCGTTTCTCCAAAACGCCTTCACGGCCCCCGCTTCCCGCGGAAGCTCCGCGCTCCGATCCGAGGTTGTCCGTGGCCGCGCCGGGGTCGGCGCCGCTGGCCGTTTGGACGGGAGAAGTGAGTGAGTTGGGTGTCGCTGTGGAGCTGCAAGGTCTGCACGGCCACGAGAGCAGAGAGTTGGTCATGGATACCCTCATGGCCTCGGTGCGGGGGAATAGGGGAGCGGGGGCGGTGGATGGGGTCGGTGAAAGTGAGGTTTTTAGAGAAAGTGAGGTGGGTCATGGGAGGTTTGGGTTTGGTGGATGTGGGTGCATATTGAGCGTAGTGAGTAGTGTTGTTTCTCAGATGAGATCAAGAACTCTATGGACTTCTTCATCTAGGAATCTAGGAGTTTCATGGTTTGGGTGACAGAGGGTTGCCGTGATTTACTTTTCCCCTGCGAGGTGCTACGTGGCCATGGCCACCCACCTTCGAAGGTTGGTGATGCTGGTGGGACACATTCGTCGAAAGATTCTCTTTGAGATGCCAGCTGCTGGGAGATCAATCCTCAATCACGGCACACTAACTGGCTTAATGGGCTGTGATTCGAGGGGGTATTGAAGCACTCTGACACCTCGCATCTGCTCCGTCCGGACGCCACACCGTGTTGACGCTCGATCCTGGCGGAACCCGATCCTCGCAGCAAATGCTTTCTGGTCGCCTACTGTGCGAGGCGGGCGCGAAAGGCCAGAAAATGGCCGAGGGTGACCCATCATTGACGGCCTTGGGGCGAAAAAAGGGCATGGCAGACTCCTTTTCGCTACTAGGGGCTCCTGGCCTTACTAGTAGTAACAAGAAGCTATTAGAAACAAGTGCCTCGCTAGTAGCAACAGGTGCCTTACTAGTAGTAACAAGAAGCTACTAGGGGCTCCTGGCCTTACTACTCCTTTTCGCAGTGTAGCGTCCTGACATCGTCCAGTTCCATGGGGTTAGTTCTCTGCACTCCCTAGCGACCAGCCACCGGCCTTTAAATGAATTTCAACGCTCCGCAGCCAATTCCGCTCCATCGGTCTTGATTCAACTAAGGTGCATCACTGGAAGACTCTCTCAGGTGGCAAGGTGGAGGCACGCATGTCTTCGAGGCCCGCATGGAGGCTTGATAGGTGGATGATCGATCAGCTTGTCACATTGCCCACACCATCCAGGCAAACCACGATGTCGCACCAGTGGTCCCAAAGACTAAAACCAACTTAGAATCCGTGCTTCCGTATTATAGTGGTCACTGGGATCAACTGGGTTGGACATGTGGGTGCTGTTTTATCCCGGAGCGGTGATGCAGCATAAGGATTGCCAGGGGGTGCCGGGGCGGGCGCCGCCCTATGTCAATGGGATAGCAGTTGGAAATATATTGTGGAAATCATGAAAGGCATGGTTTGGGGTCTCCAGATGTGTTTGGGGTCTCCAGATGTGTTCAATCTAATCGCACCAGTGCTTTGACCATGATTGGGCACTGCCGTTGATGGATGCAATCATGCACCAAACCCACTGCAAATCAGGTTCATCTCAGGTGCCTTCCAGAGAGGAAGGTTGCTTCATGTGGGATGATTGTGTAGGTGCCAAGGGGGTGCCGCCTCAACCCATAAAATAACTTCCGCCTATAGGGGTATAGTCGACCTATAGGGTCGACAATGGTCTATAGGGGGCCCAGAGTACCGTAGCCCTACCGTAGCCCTACCCTCAAAACATCTCAGAACCCTGCCAGGAGCATGGCTGCAAGTACCGGGTCAACCTGGAGGCCCCGCGTCGTTTTCCGCCTTTTCCTGGGCGCCTTTCTCCGTGACTTGGACGAGGATCCAAGCAGCATGATCCAGCTGATCCATGATCTGTTCGGAGTAATCCGGCTGCGTTGGTTTCGGCACGTCCCACGTGTCCCGAATCGCCCCAACAGCTCCAAACTGTGTCAGATGACGTGGATGGACGCCTGGTCAGCGACATGGCGCATGGTCTCCAGCCCTCCGGGTCCTGCTTGCCCAGCCCAGGGGGAGAACTCATGTGGTATATTGCAGTGGTTTCAGAATAGAGCGCGAACATGAGTCCCCTTCAAAGAATCGAGTGGGAGAGCGGCCGTCTATACTATACACATCATTCTACATCCATCTACCTGAAACTGCTTGGACTTTCTAGCTTTGCCAGGCATTTTTCCTTTTCTTACCATTTCCTTTCCACCAAATGCCCTCTGCTTCGTCCAGGAGCGCACGCTGACGAACCTGACCACCGGGCAGACGGCCAGTGTACGGCCGTTGGAGGAGTCTGTTTTTTGGGTTATGGGAGCGAGAGGAATGATTGTTCAGCGGCATCGGAATCCACCGGAATCCTCCGGAATCCTCCACACCACATGAGTTTTTCGTGGGACCTCCACCTGATGTTGAGAGGACAGCGTGAATGACTTGAAGACGGCCTGGGCCCCACACCGTCTCACCGGCTTTGGGGGAAGGATTGCCTGAACCCTGACACCCACCTCGTGGCAATCATTGACGTCGAACAGCTTGTTCCAAGCCAACGTGCATTTGGGAGCATTTGGGGACCCTCTGAGAGCCCTCAGATCATGCTGCTATCTTGGCTCTGCGAATGTCCTCAGCCCCAGACTCAGCTGAGCTATATGAAAAGACGTCGTGAGAACGGTGGGTGCGACTTCGCGGGCATGGCCGGCATCGTGCCTGAGCTGCGTCATTGTGCGACCTCTCGATGAAGGTCAGGGAAATTCGGCAGAAGGTTCAGACAATCCGAACCGGCACTGGTTGGGAAACCGGCACTGGAACTTGTTCCTGCGCTCAACCTGTTCATGGAAGCATGGAAAATCGCCCAAATGGATGCCACCGTTCCTGAAGAAACGCATCCGTGAAGACATGAGTGTTCTTTTTGGTCCCATGGCTCGGAGTTGCTGATTTCTATTTTTTCACCGGCGCTTGGTGTCCGAAGCTGAGGGACATCACCTAAGAGAAGCTGTGATATAATTCCAAGCCTTGTCACTGTGTTGGTAGCTGTTGATCTCTCAATGGATGTGTATTTCAATAGAGAGACACCCAACCAATGAGTCTTGGTCCATGTTCCTGCTTCCAGGAGGTCTTGGGGAGGTCTCAATTTAATGATCACCCCTATCAGAGCAGGTAACTCCAGTCGAGTGTTTTGGGGATCGGCTGCTCATCTCAGGTGGTATGCGTCAGCGGCCGCTGGTCTGAAGACGGAAACGCATCTGCCACGGCGTTTCTTTCAAGAGGAATAATTCAACATGAACTTTGTATGAAACCTCGCCACTGATTTGCCATAAGAAGGCTTTAAAAGGATCCTCATCAGGCTTTGGGGCAGCGATTTTGGACACTCGTGTGGTGGGGTTGTTTGGATCATTTTGGATTTTGACATGGGGATTTCATGGGATGGATGGCGTCATCTGGTTCCCCACCTGCGCAGGCCTGCCGGGAGCCATGGGCCATGAAGTGTCGCAGGCCTGCATACGCAGAGGCGGGGCGAATGCGAAGCTCGGAATAATACACAATATTGCAATATTATATATATATATATACACATGTTTTCTTAATTATAATATAGGTTCTGGGTGTTTAATATAGGGAGAATGAGGGGTCATTTCAAGGGGGCCTGCCCTAGTTTGCAACGTTCGACTTCTTCAACTACTGAACATGATGGAAACATGTGGGGTCGAGCTGTATGATACGAACGGCAAGTATCAAGAGTGTCTCGCAGGAGATGGGGACGAAGCAACCTCCAAGGAACCACCATTTGAACGGTGTAGCTGCAGCTCGACAACCCTTTTGTGACAGCAAGACCCTCAGAGACACCTCCGGCAAGCGGGAGACCAGCTCGTAACCCATGAAGAGCGATCGAGTTTTTCCTTTTCCTCTGACATTGGCCACGAATGGCTGCCCCCACCAACGGAACCACCAATCCAACCATCCTAACTTGGCGGCTTCTTTGTTGTCAGGGATGACCTTGGCGCCCGTGGGCTTGACGGGGCCCAGCATGCCGGCACAATGCCAGGTGCGAGGGGCAGGTTGGAGGTCATCAGCACGGAAAGGACAGAAATATGACAGTTGGAACCCAAAAGAATCTGGACAGCTAGACTCAGACTTTTTGTGGGGCATTCAGCCTGTGTTGGGAGCAGATGGCATGGCGAGGTGCTTCTTGGGGCCTCGTTGGAATCCAAAGAATCCCACACCTTCATCCGATCGTGCGCCTGGCTCACCAGCCCGTGGCTCGTCACCCGCACCTCCAATCCTCACCTCCGACAGGGCCCCATGGGGCGCTTTCCAGCTCCGACAGGTGCAGGAAGGTGCTTTGACGTTGGATGTGAAGCTGGTGGGCCCTGAGGCACCGGGTGCGCAGAAGCAGGCGCTGGAGGACGGCGCTGGTGCAACTTGAAAGGTGGCATGAATGGGACATCGGGCCAATGAAAAGGGTGGACGGACACAGGTCTCTGACTTACCCCAAGAGAGGTTGGGAGACCTGAACTGGGAACCCTAGAGTGGTACATATCGGTGGTTGGGCTATCATTAGGGCTGTTCCACCTCTTTCTCGAGGTTGGTGATTTGGACTTGCTCGTTCATCAAGCCTACCCAGCCTACTGATCGTGGACGACTGAAGCAAAACGCTGGGACCCATGGTCTTTCCGCCTGGCCAATGGGCTCGGCCTGGTTTGTGGTATTTCTTCAGTCCCGTTGCACAGACGAGGAGCTGAAGAAGCAGCATGGCGACCGCTTGGTCATCATCGACTTCACTCATCCCACTGCGGTCCGGAGACCTGATCAGAGGGCTGGCACTAGGGTGGGATTTGCTCCGAGGCACTAGGCTGGAAGTGGAAAGGCCTAGTGCCCAGGGCTGCTGCTTTTGCAGGAGCTACCCTCACTTGAGCTAGCATTACGCACTCCGATCCAATCCCCTTGTTCAGAGGATGCTGGAGGATCCAGTGCACTGCGGGGCCTGTCCCATCGAGGTGAATCCCAACTCGGAGCTGTACGCATCGGAGCCTCGACGGGGGGGTGCGGATTGGAAGAGGGGACCTGCCAAACGAAGATTTTCATGTGGTTTTAGTGTGTTTTTGTTGCTTTGCCGCTTTGCCAGGGAACCTTTGGGCTAGGACACGCCCAAACGAGACGGTTGACTTGTAGAAGAATACTAATTAACCGTAACACAAACTGTAGTCCCAAAGTGTTCTCAACTGAGATGTCGGACCTTGCCTGGTAGAGAACTCATTTGGCGGTTGTACATGGTGCTCTTCCCACAGTGTTGATCCTTGCAGCTATTTTGATGGCTCCGTATTTGCCTTGCAAGGGGACACGAATGGCCGTTTAAGGGGGTAATTGACGGGTACAGGTGAGTTGAGTGTCCCTCACGAATGGAGTACTTGAACATACTTGAACCATTCTTGAAGATTTTTGAAGTATTGTCAGTATTGTCTAGACTAGAGATATATTCTCCCGCCGTTAACGAAGCAATGAACATGTCTGGGTATGATTGGTCTAGTTATAATTCATGGCGGTGAGGGGCTCTTACGAGAAAACCCCTCCTTAATTATAGTTTGACACACTTCCAGAGGAGCTGGACGAGGCCACCCCATGTTTTGCTCTCCCAGGCGGGCGTCAATTTCGTCTTCGGGACCACGGGCGGGGACCGGGAGAAGTTGATGAAGGTCACCGCCGATAGTGGGGTCTATGCGGTGATCGTGCCGCAGATGAAGCTGTTGCGAGCTCGCCGGTTCGGGAGCGACGGCTCGGGTCGCGGGGGGTGCTACAGGGTCGCGGGGGGTGCTACAGGGAGTTCCCCAATGAGGAAGGAAGAGACACTGAGGTGGGAGATGAAGTGAGGTGGGTTTGTTTATCTGCCTCTGCCTATATGGGTAGTTTGACGTGAAAGGGGAGTGAGAGAGCAAACGCACTCGGACACTCAGATATGGCAACCTCGGTAGAAACTTAAGATCTTTAATCCAAACCTCCAGGGCTTCAAGGAAGGCATCCCCTTCAGGGAAGCTACGTCGCTACGTGCTTTTTTGGCGGAAATGACCTGGAAAGGAGCAATTGCACAAGCAGACTGCAGACCTTTAACTTTAACCTTTAACACAGGTGATATCCAAGCATTTAATGCTTGATGGGAGCGGTTTGAGGTTGGAGACCGTGTTTGCAGGTAGTTCCATGACACATTCTTATATAATTGTACTTGTAGAATTGGCCTGTCGCGGCAGTGTACCCAAAAAAATAGTCCCGTCGGCGATTTAACCAGAGGGGTGTTCCTTCGATGGTTTCTTGGGTCCTGGACGAATCCCTGTTCCGAATCGGTAGAACCCGGGTGTGGGTGCCCATTCTGTTGCACCTTCAAGCTTCCATATAGACTCCGCCCGCTATGTATAGAAGCCTTGAATTCATCCGAGTCAAAATGCACCCTGCGCCTGTGCGAGGGAGAAGAGGGGCATCCTCAATGGGGTCGCAGTTGTTTTCTTTGTAGGCTCTACTTGTGACCCTGCAAGAGGAACCGCGGTTTTCATATACACATCGACATGAGCAGAAGAGGATGGTCATGAAGTGCATAGGCTTCTGGCCATCCATCCCAAGGCTGATCAGCGGTGACGGGAGCTCAACGGGGCCTGTGCTAAGGCTCCGAACATGGGGAAGCAGATTGTGGCCCTGCAAGCCGCCATGGAGAGGCTGCGCTGAAGAAGTCATCCCCACAGATAGCTGAGTGATTTTGTGTCACGCAGAGGCGCTAAGAGTGGATCAACAATCCATCCACCCCATCCACTTTCCCAATCTCTTCATCCATCATTTTGGGACACGTCCGACGCAGGATGGGCCGAGACTTTCCAGGAGCCTTTGGAGGCCTGGACGGATGCTGGTGGTTTTGTTCGTGAGTTGTGTCGGATGCTGGCGGTTCAACCGTGAGCGACTGAACTGTTCTTATATAGACCTCCGAGCGGTTTGCGCCATTGGTCACACTTGTGACCATCTGCCAGGCCAAGAATCAGCACTCTCGAACCGGTTTAGCAGCACTGCTGTTTGCTACTGCCCTTGGCCAGGCTACAAACTGGAGGTCACTGAGTCTCATCAGAAGACCAAGGCCTGAACGCCGAAGGGGGTCGGTCAAACATTGACTCGCTGGTGACGAAGAGCTGACCCATCAGCCCATTATTGCCCCATGTGACGGACCCTAGACGGATGCGAAGAGGTTCTGCTCTTCCTATCGCTTCATGCATCATCCCGGCCCTGACCCAAGGCGGATACCAGTGGTACGGCGAAAGCCATGGCAGGAGCTCCAAGTGGAAGTCTCTGTAGCGTTCGTCCGAGACGACTTGGTTCAGGATCTAGCATGGCCTAGAAACATCTGCCACTTGTGACAGGCTGGCTCGCCAGCGGGTCGGGCAATAGAAGGGCCAAAGGCCATCCATCCACTGCGGCTTTGTCACCCGCAGCGTTTGTCTCCTCAAGCATTTCAATAAGCTACGTGAAGAAAGCTGCCCCACAAATGGAACGGTGTTTATGTTCACTGCCAGTTGACTGCTAGCCAGTAGAATCATTTACAGCAGATTCAGTAGATGTTTCCTTAGCTTTTTGAAATGTTGAGCAATGTTGAGCATTTAGAGGTCTAGTGAGCCAGTGAATCACGACTATCTTGGAGCTTTTTGTCCTCCAATAGGCCTGCAATGGCCTGCCCTGGCCTGCCATGGCGCAGACCCAGATGAACATTTGCAACTGATCACTTGAAGGATGCTCCACAACGATGACCTCCAAGATGATTTTGATGATGACCAGACAGGTGCAGACTCGGAGATGGCTCCTCACCTTCGCCAAAACGGTCTGACTGTGGGGGCAGGGATGGAAAGTGCGCACAGGTATATTTCGGAGGTGATTCTTAGCAAAGCTCAACAGGTCATGAGCATTCTGCCTTTCCAATCCAAGTGTAGGATAAACAGGTGCCATTGGATGAAGCACCCCAGTTAAAGGTCAAACGTCAAACACATAATCATAGCATGTTGGAAGCCACAACCACCTGATATGGATCCCAAAAGGTGACTTCAAAATCTGGAGCCACCTCCAACCTTCTGGCATCCGTCTCTGCTCGTTTCCGTTTGCGGCATCCGTCGCTGCTGGTTCCCAGGCTCTCTACCAGATGCTCTCAGACGAGACCGATGGCCTGGTCTCGCGCACGGATGACTCCATCAAGGACGGCGGAGACTGCTCCGTGCCACGCGACGTGAAACGCGGGCGGCGAAGTTCTGCGCGTTGAAACGCGGTTGAGCGCGAAGAGAGAGAAGTGGCTGTGAGGAACTCAACCTCCCTGACCAAACCATGGTAGGTTGACATCCCGAACATAGAGCAATCTGTTCATTTTCGGTGGTCAACCAGGGTTCACTGGTTTTGACCCACAGCCAAGTGGCACGGGACGCACAGACCGAAGAGGGATGGGACTGAGTAGTAGTGCCGCCAATTTCTTTTTGGGGACGCCAGTGGGGCTGCCGAAGTGCAGCCTGACAAGGGTAACGATGGCCCGAAAGGACTGTGCATGCTAGCAAAGGATCGGATTCAGCAGTTGCGAAAGGAATAAAGGGCCAAGGCCCAGGTTGGTGAAGTTTCTTTCGGGACCAGTTTCTTTTTTCGTGTGCAAGGGGTGTGTGGGATGGATGGATGACTCTGGATGACCCATGTCACATTGAGCTCCTTCAAGGCCTCGCAAGCCTTGAGATCCTGGTAGGATGGTTCATTTACCAAGGACCCAACTCCAACTCTCCAAATATCATGCTCTGTTCGCCTAAACATGTCAGGTCTAATTGAACTGAACGGAGGTCTCCAAATCCTGACGCCCCGACCGCGCTCGTCCACGAGCTTGTCCAACATCAGTGTAGAGTGTAGAGTCTAGAGTGTTCTTTTTGGAGCGGTCAGGTCATGAGGACTGCACTGCCACATTTTTGCATGTCGGGGGTCTTGCTGAGCAATATTGGTCGAGCCACAGCTACCACGCATGTATCCATGGTCTGAGTCTTTAGCAGCATCCATGGCCTCAAGGGCAGTTTGTCACTTCTCGGAGCTGATTGAGAGGCTGCCATAGAGGTACGTATCCAAGGCGGATGGGTTGAAACTGGGTATGCCATCCTTGCGCCAGGATGTCTGGGACTCCTGGTTGAGCCAGGCGGGCGAGGAGAAGCTGCCCGAGAGCCACCCGATCCATCGAGAGAGGAGCGGAGACGCTGAGTTCAGGCAGCCGGGTTGTATGGGTGCAAAGTGGGTGATGGGTCAGGATTTCATTCGGACATAGGCTTAGAACCAAAAGTCCAGCCTAACAAAGCAGAATATGGCCAGCTCATTGCTCATGCTCCCTTTTCCTTGTCGCATGGTAGCGCGACAAGTTCGCCCTTTGCGTATGGCATGCCTTCCCCGAAGCGTAAGACTGGATGGCGCCTGGGCCGGGAAACCGTTCGTTCGACCGTGGACGCCGGTCGAGGCCAACGACGTCGATGGCCTCTTCGAAGCCCTCGAAGATCGAGGTTCCCGAGGAAGAGGATGAAGCTTTAGCTTGGATGCTCGAGGCCGCGCCGCCAGCTAAGCTGGCGACCGATGTGGCTGAGAAGGTGGGGATTGTTCAAAAAGCAACTCAGAGGGTCTACTAAGACCGCTCGCTCGCCCCTCCCAATGGCATTTGGCGACGCTCCGTGAATGTTCGATAGTGTTAGTAAGGTTGGTTGCTTCTGGTGCTTTGGCAGATAGTTGCAAAGGTGGAGTAGACCGTCAAGTGCACAAAATGGTCAGGCACCAGTGGCACCAGCAACGGCTGTCTCGTCAGCTTGGGGTGCTTGGGAGACGCTGGAGGGACATGCCAAGGGTAGTGGCAAGGGCAGTGCCAAGGGCCAGCGGGATGCAGCGCCCGCACCGGCCCTCCGCGATCTGGAACTGGAGGAGGTGCCTCTCTCCGAGGAAGACGTGGATTTCGAGGCTGAGACCGCTCTGTTCCAGCAACTGAAAGGTCACCAGGTCTCGACACAGCCGGACAAGCCGCCGGCGGAAGCCGGGGAAGATCTGCAGCATCAGATGGAAAGGCGCGTCCTTTCACCCGAGAAGCGCAAACATGAAGAATCCAAGGTCGGGCTTTGGGCGCTGTTTCAAAGATTTGAAAGGTAGTCAGCTGGTTTGGAGCAATATTTTGTCCCTGAATAGAGTACTTCGATGACATTCCTGAGCAGATGGACTCACCGCCTGGCCTGGCAGGAAACCTCATGCGACCCTTGGACGTCCGGGTCGAAGCCCCTGACTTCCACAATCGACCTTCCGGTGTACCTAGATATGGAGATTGTGTCGACCGCCAGTGATGAAGGGATGGAGTTTTACCAGAAGGAGATCGATGAGGACAGGGTCACAAGGTTCGGCAGTTCACTCAGCTTGCTCCAAGTGGCTTGCATGTTTGGACAAGTTCTTCCCCTGAGGATATATCCCACTACCAGCTACAGTGGGTATTGGGAAAAGGTCTTGATTAAAAATGATCATCCACTGTTGCTGGCAATTGGAATGTGCACAATATATAGTTATGTAATGTTATGTATATAGCTTATAACTTATAACTACTTCATAGTCTCGTGTTTCAGCACAAGCACTCAACCGGGACAGAGCCGCTTGGCCTGGAGGATGACTTGTTGGATGGAAGCTTTCTGGATGGTCAGTCGGATTTGGCTCGGGCACCCAAGGCCAAAGCCAAGGCAAATCCGAAGGGACGCGCCAGGAATGCAGATCCTGAAGATGTAAGTTCCAAGAGGGCCAGGAAGACCAAGGCGGCACCTTGTTTGGCTTGTGGGGTCGTGCTACCCCAAAAAACTTTGAATGATGTTAATCTTGTTTTTTTCATTGTTTTCTATAATGATCGAGTACTCGTCGTTAGAGGGTCCAACGCAGCCGTCCCACAGGGACACGCCGAGGAAGGACGATACACTGGACCCGCAGTTGGGCAGGGCGCAGCACAGAAAAGCACGGGGTTGGGATAGAGCAGAAAATGCTGAACATCTGCCTCAGGCAAGGATGTCAACAGACATAGGAAATGCTAATCTTCTGCCACAGTGGGCAGGGATGAGGGGATGAGGAGGCATAGGGGGGGGTCCAACGCTCATCCTCTTGGCTTCTGGAATCTTTTAGGATTTTGTCATCCACGTCCGTCCGACGCCGGGTGCGTTTGATCTGAGCGGCTGCGGGGCGACGGCAAAACTGGATGACCGTCTTGGTTTCCGCTCAAGGACCCCCAGAGGATTTACATAAGTTGCAAGACTTTTTTCCAGAACAGTTCAACTTCTGACCCATCAAGGAAGCTGCAGCAGTTCCATCACCCTCCACTTCTGGCAGACCTGCTCCTGGACCACCACCACCTCGGGGCCGCGAACGCCTCACTCAGGGCGACAGGGTGAAGATCACCGTGGCACCCGAGGGAAAGCCCAACTTGCGGGGTGCCTTGGCCACGGTATCCTGCATCATGGGCCACAAATCGCTCGAGCTCACCTTGGAAGAAGATGGCCAGCACGTGCTGCGACAGCGGGGCCAAGTGGCCTTGGTGGAGAGTTCCACTGCTCCGAGTTCCACCGAAACGCTGGCTGAAGCTTGGGCGATTTCTGAACTCTTGGTGGGGCCAGTCTTGGGGTTGAAGGGGTCAAACATTTGGTCACCAATGATTCATTTGAGATCTTGCAGCTTCCGGTGAGATGTGCAAGTGGCACAGCACCTGTAGGTGTCCTCAAGCGGCATAACAGGGAACACCGGTGCCCACACCTCACTCAGGAACAGCTGCCGAACAAGACTGGCTTGATGCGTCAGCTGAAAACTGCGGAGGTGGATCGGGCGGAAGTCTTGAGGCCTGGAGGCTTTGAGAAGAATGACGTTGAGGAAGGTTCATTCACGTCCTTTATTATTTGTTGCCTGTACCGTAGTACATCCATGTAAATCTTGGTGCCAGAACATGAACTGTATGGATCATTCGATCATCTCATTGACGCCATCTTCCCCCACCAGCCCCTTTCTGGTGCCTGCGCAGGGGTCGCAAACTGGAGCGTGAGGGCCTCGCGCCCTCACGAGGCCGTGGCCGCGGCGGCGGCCGCGGCGGCGGCCGCGGCGGTGGTCGCAGCGGTGGCGGCGGTGGCCGTGGCCGTGGCCGCGCAGCCGCGATGCCGGAGATAGGGCACCTGAGCACAAAGAGGGGTTGGAGCCGGGTGAGGTGTGCATGAGGCAGCTCCAGAGGGATTTGTAGGACTATAGTAGGGTCAACGGTCAACATGGGACACCATTGATTTGGATGTGCTTTTCTGACGAAGTTCCTTGCATCTTTGGGAGCGGGGCTTTTTGTAGTCCGAAGGCTTCGATGTAGGGCACCAAAGAGATAGACCCTTGCTAAGAGGCACACTTGACCCCGTAAGATGCAACAGAAGACCTTCGTTCGATTCAACTGTAAACGCCCGCCTTGGTCAGTGATGGACTCTTTCAATGCTTGGTCATTCGTAGCGCGATTTTCCACTTCCAAGTTAGTGGGTCGGAGTGCTCAATGGTTGGAACAAGAAAACTGATAGCGCAACTACATCCAACGTACTGAAAAGGAAGAAGAATTCGAAGGTTGACGGTTGAATTCGGCACGTTTTCACCCAGCCTGCCCCGTTGACCAGGAGCTCCTTCGATCGAATTGGCCCAGAGCTGGCGCAGCGGCTCCCGGAAAGGGCCTCGGTCAAAGGCTCAGTGTCTCGGATCATTTTCCCCGGGATTGGTTGAGGTTGGAAGGAAGCATGTTTCTTTCTTCACCACGGCAGCTTTAGTCACACTGAGCGTTCCCTTCCCCACGCTGGACCTACTCCTGAGGACTGGAAACACTTGCCACTGCTCAGCTGTTGAACCATGGGGCTTCTCATAGCTTCTTATGAAAGGTGTTCTTGGAGACCTAGATTAAAAAGACATAAAAAAGACATAAAAAGGCAACCACTCACTCATGCTCACATGAACAGCTCCCAGCTGTTCCCCCTTGAAGCTCCGGCACCTTCCGCCCAGCCCCATCCGCGCAGGCCGAGCTCCACCGCCCGCGCGGGCGCCGTCCGCTTCGCCGTGGGGGAGCCGCTGGAACGAGACGCGGAAGCCGCGGTGACCGAAAAAGTGGCGTTTCTGCGGAGAGAAGCGGCGATGGTGGTGCATCCGAACGGCGAGGCGAAGGTGGAACAACACGGGTTCCACCTATCCAGACTGAAAGAATCTGAAAGATGTGACAGTCCAAAAAGAAAAAAACCTATGAGAAGGGGCAACCAGTGTCTTGGGACACCTGCTTTCGTGCGTGCTTTGATTCGTTCGATGCGCACCGAGCCGCTTTCGGCCCCTGGGAGCGGGATCCCTGAGAGAACCCGAGCGGCGCCCAGGTGGGGTCCTTTCAGCAGCTAGGGGTGGAGCCCTTTAGCCATGATCAGGCACGGAATCAAGAAACGACAGGTGGCCACAGGCCCCTTCCATCCATTTGCCTATGCAGCCTGGCTTGTATCAAGGGCATAATGACTCATGACACAGGAGCTTTCCTTTGCATTTCTCAAGGACCTTTTTTTTCTTTTATTTTGATGCTTCTGGCCCTAGGCTAACCCTAGGCCCTAGAGGTCCACATGGGGAGAGAGCTCCACATCATATACACATCATATACAAGTACATTGCAGAGGTTCTGCACAAACACACCATGGTGACCTTCACTCCTCGCACCCCGCGCAGATCCAAATGCTTCGGGACGATGCGTCTCAAGCAGCCTTCGGGGTGCCGCCGGAGAGGGGCGTTTCCACCGCTCGAGGCGTTTGTATTTTGGGTCTCGGCACACCATCGGCTTAGCTGGTGGGTACAGTTAGAGCTTTTGCTGAAATGATGCCACAATGTTCAGTAAATGCTTAGCATAGGTCGCTATGAAGCTGAACCGACTAGGATAGTATTTGCCGCTTTGCCCAAGCTTCTGTCGATTTTCGGACCATTACTGAATGTGTGCCACGTTTCTGGTGTTGCCGGGTTTGAGGGGGCGGTAAGGAAATTCGCCCTATCCCCAAGACAACCACATGGGACACCTGGTGTGGTGAGAACTTTTCGTCTCAACTCTCAAGTTGCTTTTGGGCTGACTGGGATAAGCCGGGATGGCCAGGTACCAAGGATGGCCAGGTGATGTACCTGGGGACGTGGTTTTTTTCGGTGAGACATGGCACGTCCTCAGTTTTGTGAGGAGTTCTTTTTCCAGTTTGACACGGGTGACTTCAAGATCCAGAACTTGAAGTGAGCGCTTGAAACCCATAAGTATGAGCAAGGGCCAAACCATCCTGTGAAGAGTTTCGGAGGTGAACCGCCATTGACATCGTAAAACTCAACATATAGGGAACCCTGAAGGGCGATGCCTGTTCCAGGCATATGATGAAGCATCTTTTTTGTTTTTAATACTTATATACTTTTTGCACCACAACTCACAACGTCTCGGTCAACATTTTGTGTCCGCCTTTCCTGAAGAGGCCTGAAGGAATGGAGCTGATGATGGCAATGGCACTTTACCACCCTTCCACTGGTTCTGCGATGGGTTCACCATCATCATCATCATCATCATCATCATTATCATCATCACCACCACCACCACCACCATCATCATCATCATCATCATCATCATCATCATTTTGTTATTTTCTTCCTCCTTCTTCACCTTGTTCTTCTGCATCTTGATTCGTGGGCGTTTGAAAAGGCCAGTACTGAGGGACTTCACCTGAGCTTTTTCCAAGATGGATTTCTGCCGTTCTCAGCAACAGTCCATCAAAATTTGCCGTTACACGTGCTTTGTCTCTCACTGCGTGTCTCGACTCATTAACCTAGATGCAAAACCGAAGTTACAATTTCCTTCACAGTCGTTTTTTGGAAGCAGATGCTCCAGAGGAAAACAATTTAAACAACTCAAATTGCCGGCGCAAGGAGTTCTCCACGGGTCATGCTTGGCACACCTACACCTTGACGAGCCCTGATGGATCTGTTCAGTGGTTGGGCTGCATTGGTTTGCGGATTTGTGGATGAGGTCCGCTGTCGACGGAAGAACTCTTAGCACCCGCCTGTTTCAGGCCAGAAGTAGTAGGCTGTTCCATTCGAGACATGTACTTCACCAGGCTTGACGAGTCTCGTTCCATTCAGGTGGTGCAGGATGTCCTTCATCAAGAGTCCAAGAACAGCAAGTGAGAAGCCATACCGCTTGGAACATGCATCCTTTTCTTTCCCCCCCAAACGTTGCCATTCCCTCAGTGAAGGGTCCCTACGAACCCATTGAAGCCTTTTTATGATCCCCAGTCCGTGAAGATCGGAACGTCCACCGAGCTAGTTTTGGACAGCTCACGAGAGTGTCACTCTCCTAGTGATGGAATCCTTGTTGATCCTTGAGTCTTCTCAGCAGGTCGTAAACGGACCTCATTTCGCTGGTCCGGTCAGATCATACCAAAAACATCCAAAAACAGTACTCAATGAAGTCAAGGACGAGGTTTTACTTGGTCCTTGAACCGGCAGGGCTCCCTTCAAACCTGGGTTTTGGACACCTTGGCCTGCTGGAACATGGAAAAAGGCGGGTATAGGCTTCGAAATGCGGCGCGGTGCCGAGGGCCACCGAAATAGCTCCTGGTACCAACATGCAACTAACATGCGTACAAACATAAAGCAATAAGATAAAAGATAATAGTGTACTTGTACTTGTGTGTCGCTATTTTTGGGGGGACCCCCTAAGCAGTTTGTGTCCGTCATGTTCGCTTCCAAAAAAACGCATCACTTTTGCGATTCGTTGGCCTGCAGGTTCCAGTTCAAGCACAACGTTTGCGGCCGACGCACCTACGGTGAGGGTGTGGCTGATGCGGTGGAGTTCATCGCACGGAAAGCCCTGGAGAAATCCGAGAAGAAGGCGAAGTAGCGCGGTCGGTGCGTCGCAGTAGCAGTTGGGCCAGGGGAATGACCCAAGAAGGGTGAAGGTGGTTGACAGCCAGTGAGATCGAAATAGCCTCCTGGAAGCAGACACACGCACACACAACATATATATATATATATATATTTTTTTATACACCATAGACACACATACACACACACACATATATATATATATACACACTTACACATCTATTCGTGTGCGTGTGCAAAGAAAAAACCAACTAACAGTGGATCAATGTACATGTAGCCTGATGAGTTGGATCAAACTATGGATCTGCTCGATGATCACGGTGATCACGGTGATCACGTGAGACGTGAAGGCGATGAAACGATTCATCCAACTTCGTCTCAACTGTTTACTGGTGCAAAACAGCCATGGACGGGCTGTTTTGAATGAAGTCTTGCAAACAAATAGGCTCTCTGAAATCATTAGATTGAAACACTTGAGCAGTTTTAAAGTTTTGTCTATGAAACAAGTTGTGCAATCTGTAAACTCATGCTTTCGCGAAAGCTAACGCGCAAAAGCTTTTGCGAACATCACATTTTTTTTGTGCATGTGGTTCCTTATTCAAAGAAGTAGCGCACAAATTTGGGTGAGCAAGTTTTTTGTTCTTGAGCATGCCTGAAACGGTTGCAGATCACAAGGGCAGACAAGCAGAGAGATGTTTTGGTGGTCAATCGAAAAAGCTTTGTGAAAGGCCTATGACAGTCGAAAATCCCTGGTTAGTAGTACAGTACCCCATCCGACCCCCATTTGCTATTACTATTCGTTTGTGACAGCGTTTTGCATCGTCAGGAGGAACTTGCACTCCTAACCTCCAAATATAGGGTGTTACTCATGACTCATTATACTTCCATGTATTTTTGTCCCCTGTTCTATTCGGAGGTCACGCCATGTGTTACCATTTTGCATGGAGATGGGTCAAGTGGGTAAAAACATGGTAAAACAACATATAAGTACCTTATAACACCCACAGGTTTGACGGCGACCCGCCCGGACGACGCACGCCGCGACCGGCGGCGACCCGCCACGTGCCGCGCAGATCTTCAACATGATTGACATCCTCGAGGCCGAAGCGCATGGCCGAGCAGCTGGGGAAGGGAGAACAGATCAGGCCAATTGGTGCGAAAGACGTTTTTCTTTTTTAAATAAGAAACACCTGAAAGACTGAAGGAGGTTCTGATTTCAGCTTCGTTGAACATCGTTGAACTAGTGTAGATAGTTTTATCTTGGAAGCTTGTTGGCTCGTATGCAGGAAATGTGCATATATATATATATATTTATTTGACCTATGTCCTGCTGGCTGAGGGGAGAAAGAGAAATGTACAGGGCCCACTGGTTGGGGTATTCCATTCTTCCCAAAATGGGATGGAAAAGGATCCAGGAGTTGTTTTTCCCCGGAGAGATGGAGGTCATGCTTCCCACATTGCGTGAGAACTCTCAAAACCATCGATTTTGCAAGAGGAGTTGTGTCAGGCAGGTTTGCACTGCTGTGGACGCCTTCATTTAACATGTATTAGCATGCCGACACATCTCTGATTCAGAGCTGGGGCAGCTGACTTGAATCAAGCCGCAAGCAAGCTTCAGCCGCATGTGGGGACAATTGACACACTTCGTTGAGTTGGGATGAAACTCTTACCATGAAAACATGATCGGCAACAAGGTTTGAATCGGCAGCTTCATGCACCTCATGGGGTCAGTTTTTGGGGGTCCATTGCACTGGTCCCCAACGCTGGTGCCAGGCCGGCGAAATGAAGTGAGCGCCATTGGGCGGTACGATTGGGAGGTGGCCAGTCTGTGCCAGGTGTGTTACATGGAGATTTGATGTTTGCTTGGGTATTGATCATTCCCATAGTCATAGTTTCAATAGACTTCACCCGGGGTAGGACTGAAGTCACGGGAAAGACTTCGGTCACCTTGATCAAGTTGGTGCTGCATTCCGCGTTTGAATCGCAGGGAGAACGAAGACATTTTGCAAGGATTCCCCATCTGGAAGACTAGCTTTCTCCACAAATCAGGGTTTTTTGAGGCTCCATGCTAATCTTCCAGCGTGGATCTGAACTGTGGGGGGAACTGTGGGCGTTGTTCGTCGAGGCGAGGCTGTTCCAGGTCGGCTGGAGGAACTGATGTACAGTATATCTGATCATATCTGATCCACATACTGGACAAGCATGTGGGGCAATACCAAGGGTTGGAACACAGTTATCAAGGCTGATGCCCTGCATTTTTTTTGAAGTCTGATGCACCGGTTGTGGCACTTGCACTTGGGTCCTTATGTTTGTGCAGAAGGTGCGTTCAGGAGCGTTTGAGGTGAAGGAATGATTGCTGGTGGGGCATGCAGGCGGTCCATGTGAGCGTTCAGGACAGGCACGGACCTCCAAATGGATGTATCAGTATCATCATGAATCATTCCTGTTCTGTAGTCGTCAGTCCCATTGAAGAGAGGCAGCCATGTATGTTCACGCGTTATGGTTTGTTCCGGCACATCATGCCATGCCCAGTGTGAAGACCTCGGAAGACGATGCTGAGCCTGAGCTCAGCAAGGTTTTGCTGCGAAGCAGTGATGGCTTAGGCGGATCAGATTCAGGGCCAAGAAGTGCTCCGAGTCATGTGAGGGTCTATCGAAGCTACATGAAGCCACCAAGATGGGCTGCTGGCGAAAGAACATGTCCCACAAGGGCGCATGAAGCTTTTGGCATACAAAGGCCACATAAGGCCGCTTCTTCATGGAATTTCCCACAGATCTTTGCATGGGGGGTTCAGAGCTTTCCTTTTCCGTAGACTCTCTCATATGGTAGGTAGAGTTCTTTTTCGGACGGCCGCCAAGCCTTAGGAAAAAGACTTGCTCAACGACCTGAACAACTAAGACTAAGACATGATCATGAGTACAGTAGCTCGAAGGTCCTGCGCTTGCCTGAACTTGACCCTATCAGCTGACTTAACATATTGTTTTTTGCTGGCTGCCTCTCCATTCAGCAGGCTTAATGATGCTCAAAGCTCAACAGGACACAGGGATGCATAATATCACCACGCCCGGCCCTGAGGCCAACGAAAGCCCTTCGGTGTGGATGCCAAGCTAGAGAGTGCAATGTGAAGATGTTGAAAAGGATCAGTCAGGAACGAAGGACTAGATGAAACCCTTTCAGGATTGTGCAAGAGAAGACTTGCCTCAAAGCATGGGCCAATTTGTACAGTAGTACTTGAGCCTCCCAAAAAGCAGATCGTGGGCCCCTTCTCGCCTTCTATCTATCCTGCGGTTGGCATGCCACAAAACCGAGCGGGGTTTGAGCCAGGCGCTTTTCTCCAAATACTTCTCCGCGCTGGCGGGTTCAGAGCAGGCGGAGTGACTGGGGCAGGTTTTGACGAGACGGGTATGGAATTTGTGGCTCGCATCCTTCATCCAATGAACGGAGGCCACTGCTTCGCCAAAGCGTCACCTGAGGTTGATGCCTTTTGGACGAACAACGTCTCCATTCGACATGTGGCACGCCGGTGGGTGAGAATTGATGTTTTTCTTTGACACTTGGAATGTACCATCCAAATCAATCCATGTCTGATTCTAATCTACGTTTGACTGGTGGCATGACGCGTGCACCTTAAGGGCTATCCACTCTTACGCACCATCAATTGTCCCAAACCGGCTCGTCCGCCATAGACCAAGCGGAAGAAACCTGCCGTTCACCCACAGGGGCTCCAGCCGCAGGCTCGCTGGAACCGTCGCGAGCGAGCGCCACGTGAGGCCGAGCGGAGCCTTACGCAAGAGGCAGAGCGGTGAAGTGCTTGTCGCAGGAAATGGTTGATGTTGCTGCAGTCCTGAAGACGTCTGAAGACCATTTGTTTGCATGCAGCCGGTGAATCCAAAGGATTTGAAAGCAGTTAGCAGGGTTCTGGTGCATAAACCTGGTGTTGAAGATTGAAGCACCCCCTCACCCCACTTGCATCTCTTCAGCCAATACCCCATCCCCTGTGTGGTCATCATGGAGGACAGTGCCAGTGTTCTTCTCAAGTACGTCACGTACCGGATCTGATCAAGTCCCCCAACTAGACAGATGTGTCAAAGCCCATCCCACCGACATCCTACCTACATCCCAACACTCTCAGGCATTTTCAAGCATCCCTTAAGATCCTCCCTGGTCTCCCTCCTCCAACCATTGGCACTTGGTGGTCTGAGTCCTCGTGACCGTCCCTGGCTCGAGCCTCTGCGCTCCCCGAAGCGGTGCCAGAGTTGCCTTGGAAGGCGGGCGGCCCGCGGAGTCGGGGCGAGTCGGGCCTGGCTAGGAGGTGGTCGTCCCAACTGCTGCAACGAGAGTTTATTGGAGGGAGCATCCACCCACAACGATCATCTACGCCACCGTAGATCCTCCTAGCGGAGAGGGGCGTTGGGGGAGGGGCATCATTTAATTAAGCGGGAGTTGTTGGGAGCTGACAAGACGATTCACATGTGGTGACAGACTTCAGCTCGCGGAAGCAATCCAGGCCTGCCGTAGGAAGCATTTCGCCCTCCCACTATCTCCTACCAAGTTTGTAGGAGCTGGGAAGAGCTTGTCAAAGGTAGCAGCATGGATTTGACAAACTGCTTGAACTGTATGCAAGTGGAATGTTGCCATCTCAAGAACATCAAGAACATGAGTACACACTTGGAGACCAGGCCCAAATCTCTCTGTCAGTGCACCCCGCACCAAGATGTCCATCCATTTGCAGCGCGTCAGCATTTGCTGCCGCTAGGCGCCATGCTGTTGGAACTGCTGATCCTTCAGCAGCTGGCGATTCAAGCGTTCAGCGATGAGTCTTTTGTGAAAGCAGATGGAAGCTTGGCAATTTGCTGGACGCATTGTAAGAGCATGGTGGTTGCAAATTGGGGAAGACGAGCTCCCAATCATCGCACCATCCGCTGTGCCACGTTCCATTGGACGCCAGGTTCCATCAATGTGCAGAAGCGGCACCACCATATCCACCGTGGGCATGAAGAGCCAAGCGAGTTGGAGCAACTCGGCGGTAGGACGAAACCCGCTCGATGGGAGTGAGAGGCTCTCCCAACAAGCTCGCTGAATTGCATAGGAGGAAACAATGAGACAAATGAGAGTACAAATAACGCAGTCCAATTCTTCCAGATTTGAGCCTTTCGTATTGCCACCCTTAGGAAGTAGAGTGATCCGGCAGTTCACCTCGCCTCGCCACCCCCCCCCGTCCACTGCACGGTCGCCTCGCCTCCTCAAGGCGCCGGCGGGAGCTGTTGGCGCGCGAAGCGCCGTCGATGTCCAGCCTCTTGGCCGAGATCGAAGCGGCCACGCAGAGTGAGGCGCGCGCCGAGGCCAGGAGTTCGCCGGGGATCACGGAGTCATGGTAGTTGAAGGAGGGGGGGGAAGAGATGGAAAGATGGGGAATAGGTGGGGAATGAGGGCCGTTGAGTGTTGGGTCAGCTAAGGGGGGGATGGTCAGTAATTATTGATGGGTGTTTGTGGCCAAGGTGGCGGAGTTCACTCACGAGTAGTCACTACTAGTGGTTCATGTCTTGTGGGACAGTTGCGGTGTCTGTGTCGGCTGTCAGCTTGAGATGGTTTCAGATGGTTCACGCAGAGTCTTTGGGACTTCGGATGGGCCCCTCAGTAAGGCCGCTCCGCCCGGTTCGGAAACGGCAGGAGGGTCCCTGGGCGTGTCTTGGGGAGGTGCCTTACCGGTTGGTGCACGGTCCGATCGAAGCGTGGCAGGTGGCCAATGTCACATCCACGCCCAAACCGACACCGACGAGACAAGACTCGAAGCTCCTCGGCATGTCGACATACGTCGCCGAACTGGGACATGCCACGTTCCGGGTGTTGAAGGATGTTGAATGCCTGTCTCTCAGATGGCACTCATTTGTCACGAGCATTTGTGGGGACATGACACAAAACAAGAGTGCAGGTGAAGATCTTGAGGCCTTTGGCCCACCGTCTGAGGTTTCCTGTCATCAGTGAATGGGCCTGTGCCCTGATGTGCGCCGGACATGCGGAGGATGGTTGTTGTACCTACAAGAGCAACGCAAAGCGCGTGGGAGATGAGAATGATGGAGACAACCATGAGGCGGGATGCCGACGAGACGATACGATCTCAACTGTTGTTTTGGGGTGGCAGACCCCACCAAAACCAAAGAGACTTCCCAATTCCCACCTCATGAGTGAAGACAGAGCCAGGCGGCTGGCCTTTATATCTTGCTAGGAAGGGTTTCCTGCCCCCACTTTGCATCTGAATCATCCATGTACTACCGCACCTTCTCCTGCCAAGCTCTCAAGTTAGCAATGTTGGATGATTCCAGCAGTCGTCAAAGGGGCGGCTTTCTCAACAAAATATCAATCAATATCATGCTCCAGGAAGACACTGGCTTGTGCGAGTTCCGCCCGGGCTACCTGGGTGTGGATGAGACCCTGGCGGAAGAGGATTGGACCGCCTCTCAGTGCATCCCGGTGAGAACCAGCATTGGGGGGGGGCATGTCGCCGGGCATGTCCATGATTGCCGGGCACATGCGGGGGGAGATGAATTGCAGCCAAAGAGCACTGCCTTAGTAACCTTAGTACAACTCATTTCACTCAACCTCAGCAACCAGATTGTGATCGGACCAGCGATGACTTGTCAAGGCATTGCTGGCTACAGCACCAGCAAGTGTGCCGAGTGGAAGCCGGGGAAATGCATGGGCAAAGCACAGGATCTCAGCACAGCATCCAAAGGGCTGCCGATCTGGGACTTAGCCTTCGAGGAGGGGCCGGAGACCGATGCGCTGAAGACTCACGCTGGGGGTTGACCAATGGAAAACAAGTGGGGTTGCCTTGCACAATGGATCAAGCCTAGATCTTCAAATGAGCAGAAATAAGTGCTCGAGGTGTAAACTGCTCGTTTTGCAAAAAAGTGCTCGAGCTGCAAATGAAAAGCAAAAACAGGTGCAGTTTTCCAAAGTGCGCTCGTGTGCGCTTTTTTGCGCTCGTGTGCGGAATTTTGCGCTCGAAGTGCGGCCTTGAAAAAATGCGCGGGACACACACACAGAAACTGCGCGTTTTACAAAAACTGCTCGTTTATCCAGAAAGTGCTCGATTCTTAAGAAAGTGCTACGAAACGCAGGTTGAGCACTTATTTCTGCTCGTTTGAAGACCTAGGAGATTTGATGTTTCTCATTGGAAAATATTTAGGCCCGTCAAAAATGGTAGAAAAAACAATGAACACCACATTTTCTCTACAAATAGGTGGCTTTCCACTTTTATTTAAGTGACTCGGAGAGTATCATCATCTACCACCATGTGGCTTTAGCATCAGGGCAATCGTCAACGACCATGCAGAGAATACGCGCCGTGGAAATGATACCCGGTACCTAACTTCTTCAATCCCGAATGTTCTTCCCAATTTCGGGGCTGCGGACGACTGGCTGGCTCTTGCTCATTTTCCCGACTGGCTCGACCACGTGTCTGTCGTTGATCATTCTCATCCCTTTGGAGCTTCATGGCGCATCTCGCCTGGGAGACCGGCCGCCCCGTGGTCGTTTTCGTGCGCCAGGACCACTTCGACCGCCTCACCTGTGTGCCTGACCGCAATGGCGTGCTGCGACCCAACCCGGAGACATGGACAACCGAAATTGGCTCCTGGAACCGACCAAACGCGCAGAGAAGATGGAGCAAACCGTGCGCGTTTGATGGGCAGTTTAGAAACACGGTTTTTAAGGCTGTTTTGGAAGGGATTGGAGAACAGCTCGCAGGGAATTAGGGACCTTTTTGGGGTCCGAAGAAGGTAGTTTCATATCTCGGTTTTGCCGCGGAAGTGATGCGAGATGATGTGAGTTCAGTCATGTTGCCTCGATGCCCCCAGTGGTTGCGAAGAACATCAGGGCCACCCAGGGCCACCCAGAGAAGGTCACTGACGATGTTTGAAAACCGCCTGAGGCTACAAGCGAGGCAACCCAGCTGCGCTGATTTTCGTTTGTTCAGAAGGGTCCGAGAAGACGCGAGATTAACTGAATACATGCTGTAGTTCGGATCGTGCTGCAATTTTCATGCGATGCGCATACTATGGTTTAATGAGTGCACCGCAGTATTGTCACAGAGATGCTGGCCGCGGCCCAAAGAGGCCGCGGTCTGTGATCCTGGCGTTGTAGTTGCCTCAGGCACATATATGCAGACAAAGGTGTTTGTCACAATGAACATACTTTATTCTGTGCCGGAGCTTCTTCTCAACGCTTGACAGCCCCCAAGGTAAGGAGAGCCAGTTCTACCTCCCAGACAACGTGGAATGCAAAGACGGCGCGCTGGTGATCACCGCCAAGCGCGAGCGCAGCAAGGGCGAGGCCACGTGTGAGGTGGCTCGATTGAATACCAGGGCGATCAGCGTTGTCATGAAAGGAACTGAAAGGAATATATAGGTTTTATAGACTCAGCCGCCCCCCAAGTGGGGGGGGGGTACTTTTGGCAGTCAAGACTATGAAACCCACTATATTATGATGCGCCAGCCTTAAGCCACAAAAAACCATCTAATCCCTTAGTCTGTGTGGCGGGCATCCCTTCCAACCGTTGAATCAGGTGAGTTCTTCGTTCAACAGGGAATTTGGCGGGCCATAGACTGGATTGATTTCTCTCTGCCACAGGTCTGGGGACTTGGGAATTAGGCGGCTGAAAGGGGAAGATTATGTAGACTTTTACCATTTCACGAGTTCCGTAGCTCTCCACTGTTGAGACAATGACTGGTTCGCCGGCCCTACTTCCCATACCAACCAGCGAGAAAGACCAGCACCGCAGTCGAGGTCAAGGGCTCTGATCCCGACCTGGACGTTGAGGCTGAACTCCAATTGAGTTGGGCAGTTGCGATCTCGAACCTAATGATTTAGAGAATGATTTCCATACCCTCTCTCGCTCTCAGCAGTCTTTTCGGCTTCAAGCCATATCTCATGAAGTGAGTCGAACAAATGCAACCTGCTCCGATTTGGTCCTATTTTGGGTGCCGCGGCGTGCGACCTGCCGCCGCAAGTATTTTGGATCCTTTTCCGTCCCTAAGAAGCGGTGGAGTAGCGGTGGCAACCAGTGTAGAAGTCTAGAGAGTAGAGATGCAACGCACATGATAATTCACTGCATCTCCCTGAAGAGTGCAATCATATCACTCTCCCTCTCTCTCTCTCACTCTCTCCCTCTCTCTCTCTCTGTCTGTCTGTTTGTCTGCCTGCCTGCCTGGCTGGCTGGCTGTTTGTCTCTGTCTGTCTCTGTCTGTCTCTGTCTGTCTCTCTCTCTCTCTCTCGCGCTCTCTCTCTCTCTTTTTTCGTGCGCTGCGGAGGCCTGCCAGGTGTGTGCGCCACCGACCCTCGAGTACAATGCGCCTTGCGACAGAGTGGCCGGTGATGGCTGGCCGGTCTGCGATTGTTCGCTGGGTGCCGAGTATACCTCCGGGTCGCTGGTGTCCAGGCACAAGCAGGTCGGGGCCTAAGCGGTTTGCATCGCAAGAGGTTGTTGTTGTTGTTGTTGCTGCTGCTGCTGCTGATGATGATGATGATGATCATGATGATTGGATTGAATTGAATTGAATTGATTTGATTTGATTTGGCTTGGTTGTTTGGTTGATTGGTTGAGTGGTTGGTTGATTGGTTGATTTGTTGATTGATTGATTGATTGCTTGATTGATTGCTTGATTGATTGATTGATTGATTGATCGATTGAGGATGATTTGGCAGCAGTATGCAGGCCTGTAGGTCCTCGATTGAGTTGATAGATCTGGGACACACAGCTTTATGGGGGCTAAGATGCTTACTATGATGCTTGTGCAGTTGTATTGGTTGAAGAACTCCAGCAGACAGTGGATGTTTGCCCCAGAGCGTCATGAATATGACTCTTCGATCAGCAGCTTAGCAAACTTGCCAGCACCAGTCTGAGGAATTCTCCTATGGCCTACTGGAGGTGCGTGCGAAGATTGACACTCGCCCGGGCTTGTGGCCTGCCTTGTGGGCCGTCGGAGATTTCGACAAGGTGCCATGGCCCAAGAATGGGGAGATTGACATCCTGGATGCCTTTCAAGGCCCGCACGACGAATGCGCGACCGACGACGACACGGAACGGGGGTGATGTGTTGAGCGCTGGGTGGACGGTCCTACTCTAGGTGTTGTTTCCCTGTGGACGTGTCTTGGAACGCTATAGGAAGATCTATCTGATAATGAAGCAACACATGCATTTGGCATGCATTTAGAACAAGCCACAATCGCGACATCGACGCACAGCAATGACAGAGAGCAGTGACAGCAAAGAGACTGGCTTATGGTATCTACTCCTTCTCACTTTGACTCCCATACATTTTTGCTGAATGGATTGTTTGTTTGGGTATTCGGACGCTTCTCTCGACAATGGTTCCTTGCAACTATTGGATCCATTCCATCCTCCCATCCTTCGTCGGCCCGGTGCCCCGGTGCCGAAGAATCCTCTAAAACCGCCGACCCTGGAGGCATGCTGAAGGCCAGTGTCATCCACGCTGGCGAGTCCGGTGGCGCGGAGGATGCCGTCTTCCATGGCTCGGCCCGAAGGATCAATGCCGTCGCTGGGAGACAAGGGCTTTTTTAGGGCGGAGGGCGGAGGGCGGGGTTTGGCTGTCTTTTTTGGAACGGGTGGTGTTGGTGCGGTGTGTGTGTGGTTTGGTGGTGGTCTTGCTGCTAGGGGTTGAGAGCTGCCCGGCACGTCGTAGTGGGTAGGCGTCAGGAAGTATATAATCTGCTGCGTGGCTTTCTTGGATTTCCAGGAGCCTCCCTACCTCGTGCAACATCCCCAACCCTTCGAAACTCTTGACACCCCCCCAAAGGTTCCAGAGAGGTCAATGACCAGCCCACCCGCCAAAAAAGCACAGGAGGAAAAAAAACCCATCGTGCGTTTTGGGGTGGCGATTTCGCCATCGAAAACACCCGCGACGCCTGCGTGACTCTGATGAGCCGTCTGAGGAGTGGGAGAGGAGCTTCCACACCTGGGCTCTGGAGTGGGACGAGGAATTCATCTCAATCCGCGTGGACCGCCAGGACGTTCGTTCCGCGCTGTTCAGATGGTGTGACCACGACCTCAGGCTTCGGGGCTATTCCGGAATCAGCTCCAGCTGTTTGAGCGACCTGTTGGCGGCCATTGCACCAAGTCTTTGAGTGTTGGAAACGATGTTCAAGGTCCTTCCACGAACACCGCCTCGTGGTGGTGGCCACTGTGGTCACCCTCATTGATCTTAGCCACATGAAGTTGAATCTCGAAGTGAAACAGATCAAGCTTCAGAATTGAGTGGCATGAGACATTCGGCTTGATCTTACCCACATGAAGTGAAACACCTTCGGGGATGCCACCCTCAAGCCGAATGGCGGTGGCCCCTCCCAGCCGCTCGTCTCGTGCTTTCGACGGAGTCGTCGTAGGAACTCTTGCGGCTGGATTTGACGGTGGCCGATCCGGTGAGAACTTCCTGGCCAAATCCCTTCAAGAGCGGAAAGAAGCCGCTTGGGCCGAGGCCCTGGGGCCCTGAGATTCATCTCACCCAAGCAGCACAGAGAGAGAGAGAGAGTGTTCGAAGGATTCTTGGGAGCACTTTTTTTTGCGCTGTACATTCCTCTGGACCGAAGAAGAGCAGCCAGCTGGCCAGCGTGTGGAGCTGTTTATGATATGTTTATGTATGTTTTGTCTTAGAGTTCTAGAACTTTTGGCTGCATTCTTGCTACTACTGTATAGCTTTTGGGGTAGAGCACATACTTGTGTGAACTTGCTCCCTTGATCCTCATAGAGTGTGCTGATGATCGTCGACTGCGATAGTTTCCTTCAGCAACTTTGGGAACTTATCTGGATTTTGTGACGTGAGCAGTCCGCAGAGGTCGCAAGTTGTTTTGGCGAGATGCCGTGTCTACATGCACACGTCGGCACACAAAGGATCAAGACTTTGGTAGCACGACTTGCGCAACACACACACACACACACACACACCCCCCTTGATACAAAGTGGCGTCGGGTATGAAGGGGGTGAACCAAACATCCTTGACTTGGTGACACATCCCACCTGGACCTGAGAGACCTCTTGGCCCCCTGGGACAGTTGATTCGGGATTTCGGCCGAGGTTCTTCATGATCCTGAACCTGGCAGTGGGTGGCCAGTCTGGAGGCAATGCCACTCAGTCGGACTTCCCAGCCACGCTGCTGGTGGACTACGTGAAATACTTCAAGAAGAAGGGCCGCACCAGCCGATGACACCGGATGAGCTGTGAGCTAAGCAGCGCACTAGCTGGTGCTTGCTTGGCATGGTGTTTGATCGGTCACGCGCAAAAAGAGGCTGAGCGAGCTGAAGAACACCCAATTGTAAGTCAAACTCTCATGCGATTGACATGCCGCTTCTTTTGGAGTGAGAGGTGGAGGCCCTTTTGGTTTATTTGTGCAACCTGATTCTGGCAAGCCTCGAGTTTGCCTACACAGGCCGCAGTGTCTCAATGGCTGGCGAAGGCGTTAACCGAGACATCAGAGACGGACGAGGTGCTCAGGGTGAGAATTGGTGGGGCTTTCCAGAGGGTAGAATGTTCTGGCTACAGTGCTACAGGGAGTTTCCTAGCCGTTTGCCAGCAATGGCCAATGCCAAGTTGCTGGCCTGTCAAGAGCATTCCCACGGCAACGCTGGTGACCTAGAAAGACGACAGTTGTCCCAAATGGGGTTGGGATATAGGGAGGAAAAGAACACCGGATTTCTTTGGCATTTCTCAATCGGAGATGCCCGCCAACCGAAGACTCCAGCATGAATCCAGGTGTGCGAAGACCTGGAAAAACCTTGCCAGAGGTCGTTTTTGTGAGTTAGGTAGCTCGATTTTCACGGGGCTCTCTGATCATCCTTAAGTTACTTCTTTGCCATTGAATTCGCTCCCCAAGCCAGCTTTCTTCACCGGAGCGTGGCACGGTGATGGGCCACCCGTGAGGCTCGGGAGCTGGTCTTGGCGGAGGCGGACCAGCTGTTTGGCCGCTTGAGCTGTGCCAGGCGCGGAGGGGAGGACGAGACTGAGAATGCGGGGAGGACGAGCGAAGTGGTTCGCACATTTTTTTTTCAGGTTCGATGAGGGGATTCACTTCTTGATTTTGGGCTTGGAAGTCGCTAGCAGGGAAAGTCAAAAATTGTAGCTGAGCTGATCGTAGTGCTTTATGTCTCGTCGGAGTCGTCGCGAATGCAGCCCGACATCGTTGGACTGAAGATACGGTTTTCCACGAAGTGTTTGGATAGACATTCAACCTAACATTCATGCGTGGGGGATATTTTCCAAAACAATCAGTTACAGAATGTATTTTGTTACAGATCCGTTTGGCAGAGCACTTTAGAGCAGCTTTTGGCTCCCAAACTTTTGCATTTGCAGGGCGGCGCTGTGGGCGCACGTGTTGCTTCTTTTCCTTTTCAGCGGAAGGCGAAACACGTCTAGAGGTATTTGGATCCTTTTTGACGATCCGACCCAAACCAATTACGCAGCTAGCGTTAGCCGTTAGCTAGCTGAGTACATTCTTGCTTTAGCAAAGCAGGGGAGGCGGGAGGCCAACTCAGCGGTATAATCACTGAACTCCCCTGTTATGTTAAGACAGGGATAGATAAGATACGAACATTAACTTGCCCCCCTTACAGATGAGCATCGTTGATGCTTAGTGGTCCAAGTCGCCTCTGCGAGTAGTAAGCATCGCGGATAACATTAAGCCGTTACGGTCAAGGAACCGCATTGTTACGCACTTTTGCAACAAATTGCGACCGGCCTCCCGCTGGCCTAGACAGTGTAGACGCACAGGCCCCGCTGGAATCAACCTCCCTCCACTACTCGACTCTACCATGTGGATTCTGTGTGCTGTTGGCTTTCTCACTTGAGCAAGCAGACGCTCATTGAAGCCCGAGGAACTTGTTGGCTTGTCGTGCTGGCCACACGGTGGCGTAAACTCCGCTGGCCGACCAGTTCGTCGAGGTCGACCCCCACCGCCCCAGTCCAAATCACATCCCTTCGTGGATCACCCAGTTGAAGCCCACTCACATAGGTCGAACTCCGGACCAGTTGGGCCCATTGGTATCCAGGAAATAGGAAAGAAATACAGAAAAGAACAGGAAGAGAAGTACGAAAGGTCTAGAGTGAAAAAGTGGAAAACACAGAAAGGCATTAAGAAAATGGAACCTCCAAAAATGTAAGCTACATTTTTGTGCACTTTGAACTGAGAAAATGTAAGCTACATCTTCTGAAGGAACAAACAAAAATGTAACTTACATTTTTCCGAAAAATGTAGCTTACATTTCTTGAATGGGCTACCACAAATACTAATGTAGCTTACATTTTTGGTCTCAAAGTTGCCAAACAATGCCGCCTACATTTTTGCAGGTCCCCCCCTACTCCTAAGTAGGGATCTTCTTAGATCATCGCCTTCAAGAAGCAGGTCAACCTGGCTAAACCACGACCGGAGCTCGGGACGTGAGCAGCTCGGGGCCGGTCTGGAGGCCCCAAGTGGCCTCGAGGGACGAATGGCGCCACTACTGGATGTTGGAGTCCTCTGCAGCCAGTGGGGGTGCCCAGGATTGTCCCTGGCCGGCCACGGCCGGCCACGTGAGACCCTCTCTTTCTTTTGTGTCGCGAGTTGCGGTTGTGGGGTTTGGGCGATCTCAGAAGCATGGAAGGTAGAAGAAAAGGTTCAGGTTCAGGGTCTGACAGACCCTACCTTGGAATCAGAAGCTGTGAGCGTACTGAGCGTACTGGTTGCCACATGGCATTTAGAGCAGAATCTTGAGCTGGATATTTTTGCATGACCTCCGCTTGTCCAGGCAGTTATGCCCTGAACATCGTGCAGGTGGGGGCGTATCCAAAGCCAGCTTCTGCAAGAGTATACCGACGGACTGGAAGATAGAATGTGCTTTTGGAAACGGCCGATGCCGAATGACCCCACTTTCCGGACCGGCAAACACTACATTCTAACAGTCAGTGTTAGAATGTGCAGAAAACCCTTTAGAATGCGTCTCTTCATGGTTCAGCGACACATGAAGACCAGAAAAATGAATGCAAAGTGAAGGGAACATTAAAGGAATTGAAGGAATGTTCTAAAACCACATTCTAACTTTGGGTCTCGGCCACCCGGGTCCAAGAGCGCTAACTCTCGATGCCAAAAATTTGGCAACGGCGCATACATTCTAAGTTCCAGTCCGTCGGTATATTGATCTAAAATGCGCAGCGCAGGCCGCAGGTTTCGCCAGCACTTGCAACCCTTTATAGTCCCGGACTGAATGATAGAACCCCGACGTGCGGAGCGTCCGCCCAAAGAAGGTGTACACATAGAACCATGTCTAGGTCAGGTCACACAAGTTAGAACCACGTCAAATTCTATCTTTCAGTCTGGTATTTTTCCCACACGTTCCCTTTTCTACGCACAATGATACGTACACACGCTTAGAATGCCGCACCAAAATCTTTTGTGCTTGTAATACCTTCCTAAGTGTAGGTAGGCAACGCTCCATTTGGCTGATTGATATTTACCCACAAAAGCAATTTTCCTCGTGGAGAACGTGGTTCTAAGTGTGAGGTGGAGCATGGTGTAGGAGACGACGTGGTTCTGTCTTTCTATAGAGTTTGACGCTTGGACCGTTTGATCCTCCAAATCTTCAAGTCCAAGTTACGAAAGCCTGCGAGGAACCCTCGCAGCCTTCGTCTCAGGAGGAGCTCCGCAAGACGGTGAAAGAGTCTCCGAAGGTGGGGCGGGAGGTAGCTGTGAAGGGGATCGATGGTATATCCCCCTAAGAGGCCCAAGAGGTGAGGGGCCTGGGGCCCAGGAGCACACGGTCTCAGCGATGTTCTGGAGACCCAAGTCGAGGTGGCCGAAGGGTGTTGCGATTGCTCCGCCCTACCCGCCTGAAGCGGTCGTTTCCAAAGCAGTCTGCCCCAGCACACTGCGGGAGCTGTCCGAGGGTGGTGCCTAGCTTAAAGTCCGAAGACCGGGAGACCTCCAGTTCGGCGGCTCACGGGAAGAAGGGACATAGACCAAAAATGATCAAAAAGTCCACTGGGCCATTGGGGCTCTCCGGGTCTCTTTATTGAAAGACACGCCCAGCTGTTCTGAAGAATGGCTTCAGCTGTTCCGTCGCCTCCAATCGCCTCCAAATGGCCCACATCCACAGCTCCAACCGGGGCATCTGCAAAATCCACGCTCCACCCACACCGAAGAACAGCACTGGTAGCGAGACTCCAGAGCATCAAAGACCTTGGGAGTTTCGTGGCGTTCGGAAAGGCACTCCCAGACCATCCATGTATGACATCTTTACCACCTTTACCTACATTGGGCATCATTGGGGTGGTGTCAGGGGTCAATGTAGGCAAATATAACATATTCCATACAGGGAGTGTCCGGATCTCGGTACTTCTCTTTCAGCAAAGGTCTGGGTATCGAGAAACGTCTTCGCAAGGTGGTCGAGACGCTTTTGTCTCTCTTCCTTGATGCGGATGCGGATGCTGACGGGGACCGGTGCTGGCAAGGGGATGGAGTTGCGGATGGGCGCAAATGCGATGCGAAACTAGTTGAACAATGAACACCCCCCGGTGCGTCGTTTTATGACAATGGCATACTGTATATTATAAGTATAATATATATATATATATGGATCCTGCAGCTCCCACAGTTTGGGTGGGCTTTTGAAGTTCATAAGATGGACTTGTGGCTTTTGTTTGTGTGGTTGCCAACCCAGAGCTAGAAGCGATGACAGTGCCCAGAAAACTGGGTGAGTCCCAGATGTGCCGAGACCATTGGCCAGCCATCCATGCACCCATCTCTTTCTCCATAAAGCATGGTCACTGTAGAAGAAGCCCCAAAAGCAGAGATGCGGCCCTTCCCTGACGAGAGGGTGGTGAAGATATCCACCATTTGAAGTCGACTACATCCAGGCCATCCAGGCCAGGCTGTTCTCTTTTGGGATGTGGATTTGCTCCTTAAATGTGGCAGATTCGAGTGGCTCATCAATCTCCACTGGCTCTGCGGCGAGTTGCAGGAGATTTCCATAGCAGAGATGGCCGCTTGCTGCAAGAAGTGCCAGAGCCGGGATCTCGGATCACAGGCAGGAGCTGAACCGTCCAATTCTACGTTTGTCTGGCGAACCGTCCCCTCTCCGAGACTAATGCTTAGTTGGCCTTTGGCTCACTTCCGTATCAGCCACAACTTCGATTTGCATGTAGGAAGCTGCCGAACAGGACCCAAATGGACCAAGCAGCTTTCTAAGGAAGCCCAAGTTGGACACGTAGTAGCTGATGACTCTTTTATCATACCTGTTTGACGCGTCAGAAA